TGAACTCCGAGGAATCGGGTTTTGATGATGAAGGTTCCATTCTCAGGTCCAGGAACAAAGTCAAAAATCACGTTTTTAAACCTGGAACAGAAAGAAACTGCTGGTCAAACTTGTGTGTTACAGCTGCTGCCTGTCTGTCCCAGGGGGCTGGAGTTCAGCACCATGGACAGCACCTATTTCTGCTGCACTATGGCCTTCTCTGTCCAGCATAGCAGACAGCGCCTACCCCCTCCTGATCAGCACCACAGACAGCAGCACAGCAAGGATTAGCTTCCACCCCCATATCTCTCCTGGAAGTGTCTAGCGCAGCTGTTTGGAGTTGCCTTCGTGGTTTGTTGCTCCTTAAAGGGATACTATGCAGTTTTTCCATTAAAAATAATTTTCTTGATCCAGTGTGTGCTAAAACGACCATTTACAGGGTTAATGAAATGTCACTCAGACCCCACCCAGAATTTTGCACTTGCAACTTCAAAGTTGCTCTGCTGGTGGGGGCAGCTGTGGAGTGGAATGGAGTTAACATGGTGGAGCTGGACTCCGTCTCCAGCAGGTTCTAGTGTTCGATTATCTTTGAAGAGTGCTACGGCATAGATTGCTGCTCAATAGTTTTGATGAAGCAGTGTTTCCCCTGGGAATTTTTCCAGCTGTGGTGGTGGGGCCGGCCGGGGAGGGGGGGAGGGGGGGCTTGGGGAGAAATTATGACACGTCTCTAAATAAAGTAAAATTTTATAGTGCAGAGGAGACAACCCATAGAAGCACTAATTTGATCTCATTTCAGAGTAAAATAGAACAGGTTAGATGCACCTAATAAATAAAATTACTAACAAACTGAGGAATCTGTTTCTTTGCTTCACTGTTCTGGTGCTGAAAATATCACTAATGCGGATCAAAGGAGATACACAGATGAATGCACCTCTTATTTATTATTTGGAGTCTACATTTACTGCAGCTGGCAGAGGCAGAGATTTTTTTCTATTGATAGACGGAATTTACAGAATCATTTAAAATGTTAATAGGGGAAGACTGCAGGAGGGAGCGGTAAAATACAGGGGGGTCCCCAGCAAAAACAAGAAACTTTACGTGTCTGATGAAACCCGCTGGTTTTCCATCAGGCAGTCACGGGGGCAGCTCCAACGGCGCAGTGGCTGTGCTGGGTCAATGTTATCGAGTTCAGTCCGGCTCGGCCGTGAACGAGCCAAGGCGACGTCGTGCTCTGCTTAAGAAGAAGTGTTATTTTCCCACTTCAGAAGAAGCGTCCAACGTGTTTTTACGCTTTCTCCAAGACATGTCACGTTGCTAAGTTGTTAGCGCTGCGCGCTAACACGTCAATAGTGCAGCGTAGCCTGCTGGAGATTTTAAGGGTTCAGATGAAAACACCCGACCTCTCAGGCTGCTCACACATCGATCTTAAGTTGTCGCTGTTGCGCTCACGCCGTAATACAGTATTAGATGCGGTTAAAGTCAGACATGAAAAAATAAATACATTTTACATGAATAAGTGATGCTTAGCCTGGTGGGGGGAGGAAACCCTGTCAAGATCGTCAACACTCGTTTATCTTAATGCTATTGAAACATGTAAACCAAAAAGCATTATATCCACTGCTACCTTTCTAATTTTAAACTCAGTAACTTATGTTGTAACTTCACCTTGCCCTGCCTACTCCTCCTTGCTGCCTGCCGGCTGTGATCACAAGCGACAACAAAGCAGTTCCCGCTGCTTCTTTGGGAAACAGTGCAAAAAAACACCAAAACAAAACAAAACTTGGATCTTGTAGGCGTGGCGGTGGGATTTCAGCCGTGGCGGGCCGCCACGGCTGTGGCTATGCAAGGGAAACCCTGTGAAGTATTGCTCCACTTTTTTAGTTTAACAGTTAAGACCCCCAGTCTTTTCTCCCTTCTGGATTATTTTTAGTCATTTGTAGTCCATTTAGCCTGGAAGCGTTTTGTGTCGTTTTCCTGGGAATAACCCCGTATATCTGGGTTGTAATAGTGTGCTTTTGTGTTGTGTCCTCACTGTGTGGTCGGCAGGTCCTGGATCTCTACCAGAACTCCCTTATCCTGCAGTCGGGTGGCGCTGTAGCTCAAAGTTGGAAGCTTCTTCTTCTCTCTGCCTTCTTCATTCTTCTTATTGGTTGATTTACTACAAGACATCCCAAACAACAAGGGAATGATCACAGTATTATAAGCCAATCAGTTTCCAGTAAAACAAACTTTTTTTGAATGTGCAACAGTGAAGTGTGTGTGATCACCTATTGGTCAGGTTGTCCAGACAGGAAGTGATGTAATGTCTGTAATAGTCAACTTGCTCGCTGTAGAAACTGCTTTTTTCATGCAGCCTACTGAGAGTCTGCTGAAGCTTCAGAAGCTCCGCCCCCCGAAGCTGACGGTGCAGACGCTGCTGCCGAATGTCCTGACGGAGAGAAAGGACGTATAAAGATTACTCAGCACAAGTAATCTGATTACAGGTAAGTGACAACCACACAATCTAGTCTTCTTTGACCTCAGAGGAAACCATTAGACCTGAGAGGAAACCCGTTCTGTTACCTTGACGATCATCTGCAGGATCTGGTTATCCGTCTGAGCTGGTCTCAGAACTCCGAGTGCCTCCAGACGACGAAGGTTCCGCACGATCTTCCTCTTCTTCTCCTCTAAACTCAGGCTGCCGTTGGCGACCAGTGACTGGTTCCTCCTCAGCTTCTCAGGTGTGTGGGCGTCCTGTCGGACCCGTCGCTGCACCAGCCAGTTATGACACACTTCCTGTTTAGATATTAAACTTCGTTTTAAACTCCTCAAAGAGATCAGCAGCTGATGGGGACCACCATCACACCAGGTGTGCCAATTACCTGATCAGGTGAGGTCTTTGTTCTCAGGATGTCACTCAGAGAGTCCCCTGACTGAGCTCTGATGACGTCGACTATGAGCTGTTTAGTGCTGAAAAAGGAATAAAAAACAAAACCTGGTCAGCTGAAACTGGTGCGCTAACAGGCTCATCTACCTGAACAGGTGAGACTCGGCAACCTAAAGAGCAGTCCTCTGGTGTCTGGTTGGTCAACGGACTCACTGAAGATGTCAAACTTGTTCGTGAGGGTCAGAGAAACCTCCATTTTACCGAGTTCTGCTCCTTGATCAGCTGAAGACTCACCTGCAGGAAAAAAAAATGCCACAAACGAGCTGTCAACACTTGTACAAACACCCGTGGCCCTGAACTAATGCCTACACTAAAGCCTGGATCTCCAAACCTGTACTAACATCTGCTCACTAACACCATCCTAAGTCCTGTACTTGGAACAGTCCACAAACAGCTGCAGTACCAGTGAGATCCTGCAGGGGAGGAACAGGTCCGAGGTCGTCCAGTATCACCCTGAGCGGGTCTGAGGGATCTGGACTCAGAACATCCAGGTGGTCCAACAGCAACTGCAGAAACAGAGAGAAAATGAGAAGGTGGGTCCAGAGGTTCCTTAGACCAGGTTTATGTTTTAACCATCAACACACAACAACTGGGGGTGGAGCCGGTTACACCTGGTGGATTTCAGAGGTTAACCCTGTGAGAAAGGCAGAAGAGTAGTTCTGACAAAGGCCTAAGTTAGGTTGTGGATGTTTCCTCTCACCTTGTGAGTACTGAGTAGCTCACTGACAGAGATGTAGACGATGGGCTTGTGGACAATCAGCAGCTCAGAGTATTCGTCCATGTTGAATCTGTCCTCAGGGTCAGGGACATCACAGACAGACACCAGGAACCTCCTAACAAACGGAACATCCAGAACCATCCGTAAGAACCCTCCATCTCATCCCACCATGGGCTTTACTCAAGCAGAACCTGCAGGAACCCAGACCTGAACTTGCTGTGCGTCTGGCTAATGTACTGGTTCAGGACTCGGACATGGTACCCGTCTCCATGGAACTGCTTGTTAGCGGCGGCTTGCTGCAGCATGCGAGCTATGGATCCCAGGATGTGGCGCTGCTCCAGCTGCAGAGAGGAGCCGGCCGAGCGATCCAGAACATCAAACCCATCTGGAGCCACAATGGCTGGGTTCATGTAGCGGTAGTAGACCAGATTCCCAACAATCTGTACGGAGCAAAGCAGCATCAGGGTTAGAAGGTCAGTTCTCCTGTTCTATGATGCATAAAACAGCCTACGCTCAAGAGTTTGGTTCTGCTCAAGAACCATCCTTCTGGAACGAGTCAGAGGGAAACGGATTCACCTTGTATAGCTCATCCTCACTGGCTGCTGGAAACTTCAGCTTCAGTGCATCTCGGAGCACTTTTGCTGTGTAACGGAGGCCGTACCTACAACGGTCAGAGGAACAAGAAACGGGCCAATAAAAACACCTAGAGGTGCAACGTGCACAGGTATTAGCAGGTGTGGAGAGACAGAAACTTACGGCAGTTTGCTGAGGTTGGAGGTGATGGATTTGAGAACTCGATCAGTCAGGTTTTTCAGGTTAATTATGGCGATGTCGATTCGTCTCTGAACTTCAGGATGGGCCAGAGCTTCCTCAGGAGAAACCTCATAAGGCAGAGCACTGCAAAGACATGTGGGTGTAACCGTCATAAAGGGCCAGTTTCCATCTAAATTCAGCCCAGCGTAGTTCTTCCAACCCCACCTCCACCCAAAGACCCATTAATTACTAAAACAAATGATGTACTTTATTAACAAATAAGCACAGAGTGTTTTATTTCAGAGGAACAAGCTTGTCCAAACATCAGATTTTCTGTCTTCTTTAGTTTTATTCTCTCCCTTCTTAATTTAGGACCGTCAGCGGTTCTTTCTATTCGAAAGCCGATCATGGGACCTGCGGTCCGTTAGACTCGCGCCTGTGAGAACACGATGGGTCCTGTGACACCCCCAGCCCCTATGCAGGGTTCCTCAAAGATTACACTTTAAAGTCTTCAACCATTTTTAAAGAGCAAGTCACCCCCAAATCACATTTTTTTTTGCTGATAAACTATATAAAGGAGTGTCTAATCATGCTACAGACACGTGTATTCAATAATTTGGCAGTTCAGTGCATCTTGGTTAAAATTCAACTATTCTGCTTAAAACTGTCAGTGTTGCGCCGTCGTCAGGGAAAAATTCTGCACTGTATTTGAATTTAAAACTGCCACCGCTATTGGTTAAGAGGTATGCTATGATGTCATCTGGTACATTATGATGTCATAATGCCATTGTGAGCCTGTGTGTGTGTATTTGTTAGTGGCTCCGCCCTCTCGGCCTGCCAAGCAACAGCATTTGTTGCATTTTTCAAACATGAAGTGGGAGTGAAGTAAGTTTCTTGTAGGGGGTGACTTGCTCTTTAAGGACCGCCCACTGCAATCATGTGATGTGATTACTGTACATAAATAATGTGTTGAGGCTTGATTTGAAGAAAATAATTACATGCGTGTGCGCACACATGCCGTACAAACATCTCAGATCCAATTGCTGTCTTCACCTCTTGTGTCCAGTCTGAGTCTCAGTCTGGTTAATCCAGATCTTGTAGACCTCAACTGGGTCGGTTCTGATGCTGAGGGTCCGGTCCTGCAGAACATCCTGTAGAGCCGGGCCCAGAGAATCCCTCAGGGCATTCTGACCCTGAGCATGGCGGTAGAAGTTCACCAGCATCTTGATGGCCGTGGGATTCCCCGTGACCACATCCTGAGGCTGCTCCACCTTCAGTCTGACCAGAGACAACACACAGCTATGTTCAGGTGATTGACGACATCATGGCACAGGTAGGCAGATAGTAGCAGTACGTAACCTGATCTCGTATCGGAGTGCTTCTGTGAACAGCTGCAGCAGTAGGTAGGCCTCCCTGCTGTCACAGCCGTAGTTAAAAAGACTGAAGACAAACATCTCCATGAAGGAGGTGGAGCGACTCTGGGGCATCAGAAAGATCACCTGAGCCAGGTACAGAGGCTGCGTCTGAACACAAAGACATGATGTTAGATTACTCCTACAGCAGGTAGAGGTGGTGAGAGCCTCACCTGCAGCAGTTAGAGGTCAGAGCCTCACCTGCAGCAGTTAGAGGTCAGAGCCTCACCTGCAGCAGGTAGAGCCTCACCTGCAGCAGTTAGAGGTCAGAGCCTCACCTGCAGCAGGTAGAGCCTCACCTGTAGCAGTTAGAGGTCAGAGCCTCACCTGTAGCAGTTAGAGGTCAGAGCCTCACCTGTAGCAGTTAGAGGTCAGAGCCTCACCTGCAGCAGGTAGAGGTCAGAGCCTCACCTGCAGCAGGTAGAGGTCAGAGCCTCACCTGCAGCAGTTAGAGGTCAGAGCCTCACCTGTAGCAGTTAGAGGTCAGAGCCTCACCTGTAGCAGTTAGAGGTCAGAGCCTCACCTGTAGCAGTTAGAGGTCAGAGCCTCACCTGTAGCAGTTAGAGGTCAGAGCCTCACCTGTAGCAGTTAGAGGTCAGAGCCTCACCAGTAGCAGTTAGAGGTCAGAGCCTCACCTGCAGCAGGTAGAGGTCAGAGCCTCACCTGCAGCAGGTAGAGCCTCACCTGTAGCAGTTAGAGGTCAGAGCCTCACCTGTAGCAGGTAGAGGTCAGAGCCACACCTGCAGCAGTTAGAGGTCAGAGCCTCACCTGTAGCAGGTAGAGGAGGTGCTGGTAGGCCTCCAGTCTCTCCCTCCTCTGTCGACTCAGAGCCTTCAGGCCTTTACTCCTCTCCACATCCATCAGGTCTGACAGCTGTTCCTTGTTCTTCTTCGTCAGTTTCTTGCAGTGAGACACAACCTCCTGTTTGGACATCAGAGACAAACATCAACAAGGACAACTAGACAAGTTCTACTGGAGGTTTAGAACCAAATCTTGGCAGCTTAGTGTCCGACACAGCCCCGTAACAGATGGTTCTTTAGGGTCTGACCTGCAATGTGGCTCTGTTTCGAACCAGGAGACCGATCTTCAGGTCCATCAGGTCCAGGTCAGCCTCTAACTGCTTATTGAAGCGAATGCTCCTCACCACTTCCTCTCTCAGATTCAGAAGCCCCGCCTCCTCTCTGATGTCACCATCACCCATATCAAGCAGGTGGAGGAACTTCCTGACCACCGACAGGGGCGGCGTATCCGAACCCACTGAGACAGGTAAAGGGGAGGAACTTAATGAGCCCAGAGAAATCTTTTTCTGTGATGTCATTTAAAGGACCAATGAGACGCAGCGTTGTGAACCCACCAAGCATCTGGTACTCATGTCTAGCTCTGCTGGCTCTGAAAAAGGCCTGGATCTTTATTACAGCATCCACCTGTCAACACAGGCTGTTACCATGGTGACAGCCCACTGATTGGCTGGATATCTCATGCTAGGCTGAAGACATGAAATGGTGAACGTCCAGCAGGACTCACATTCTGTCTGAAGAAACGCAGTTGGGATAAATATCTTCTCCTTGTCAGACACATCCTCACAAATGCTTGGATCTGAAACCAACCAAAAAACCAAAAACCTTCCAATAATCCAACTGATCACCCATTTTTACCAGTTTGAGCTATTGACTAAACCAAGTTAGGGTTAGAATCCGTTACCTTGACGATGGCTCTCCAGTTTTTGTGGAGGAACTGCAGCCGCTGCCTGAACTCCCGCTGCTGCACAAACCTCCTCCAGTGAGACTGCACACAAACATCACATCAATACATCTGTGAGGAGCCAAAGCATCTGCAGGACACGCCCCTCACCTGGATGATGATGACGGCATTTGTCCGACTGATGAGGTAATGGTGGGCTTCTAGCTGCCTCCTGATCAAGAAGCCGCGACACCGAGCCTGCAGACGGATAACCAGGGCTTCGCTGCTCCTCCACTCTACGCTACGACTGTAGGACGCAGAAACGCTGCTAACAACTTCCTGTAGTGTGACACCACACACAAAATGATCCACTGACCAATCAGTGATGGAGAACACGTCCGTCCTGATGCCATACCTGAATGTCGTGATGATCTATGAACAAGTTGTTGAGTTTCTCTTTGGGTTTCTCCCAGCTTCCCTCTAACCTCTTCAGGTGGAAGTAATAAAAAGATCCATCGTGTAGTTGGACTCGAACCCACGGGCTGCGGCTGTCACCTGACCCTTCCATACACACACACACACAGTCACTTTGTTAGCGAGTTAAAACACTTGAGCACACACCGAGCTCTCCTGAGAAGCTCACCTGAAGGTGTTCTGTGAACGATGAGAGCGCTCAGCCCTTGCTGGTATTCTGCAGCGCAGTCAGAACGAACCCCTGTCAGCTGCAGCTCAGGCAGAGCCAGAACACGCAGCGTCTGTTTGGGCCGGTTCTCCTTCACAGCCTGGTTCACCGCCGCCACGGCCAGACACACTGCAGGGAAAACAAAACAGTCACACACACACGCACCTGGGAGTAGCAGCACCACAGATGCAGAAGCCCTCTAGTGGCCAGCAGCAGGCCAGTTCCCTCTAGAAAACCATCCATCCATCAGAACCAGGAGCCTGACCGGACCAGAGCCTTTTACGTCTCATAGCTACACATTTTCTCTCAGGACTTTATTATAGATTAAAATATAAAATCTTTATGTTTTAATTTAAATTTGACATATTTGCGGTCTAAAGAATCAAAATTTGTGACTTCAGACTTGGTGATTTTGTCCCGCGTCTCCACAGATTTGGACACATCGTGAGCGGCCTCAGACTCCCCACGCCTGATTTAGGCCAAACTGAGAAACAGATCTTATCCTGGTAAAGGAAACTCACACTTCAGAGCATTCTGACTCTGCTGATTGGCCAGCTTCACTGCTTCCTGGATATCAGCCAACCACAGCTCAGCTTCAAAGTCTCTGCTCACCTGAGAAGACAGAAGAATTAGAGGTGATTAGAGTTCAACCTTCAAACATCTGGACCCCTGCTGAAGAACAATACTACAAATGTGTTCAGAGTGAATGTTGGTAGTCAAGGTGGGGTTACCTGCTCTGCTGGGCTACTCACCTGGACTTTGCGCTCCCTGGCTCTGGTCAGCAGAGTCAAGTATCTACAGATGTGGGCAGGTAAGACCTCGTCCAGCCCACAGGAAGGCAGCATCAAAGCGGACAGCAGGAGACGGATGTCTCCTCTCGTCACTGCCTCATTGGTCAGGCCGACAGCCAGGAGCTCTGTAGAGCAGGTGAGCACAGGTAAATACAGTTAAAGAGGTCACATGACATACGAGTAAACACAAACTGGATCCTGTCCCTAACGACTGCACAGGGTCAGACCAGGATCAGGATGTTTTTTAGCGTTTCCATACGTTGCTGCTCCTCCTCCTGCACGCGGTTGTTGACAGAGTTGACTCCTTCCTGCAGCTCGTTCCAGGTCAGAAAGTGTGTGACATTCTGTTGCTTTACACCTGAAAGATGTTCAAAGTACCTGGAAAACAAACATCACCATCACCGTCACCATCACCATAAACACCACCGTATAAAGTGTCACACCTGTCCATCATGGCCGGGTCTACATCAGAGAGTCCTACAGATGGGCTGAGCAATGATGAGCTGAACTTCTGCAGGTTTCCCACTTCCAAAGTTTGATTGGTGAGAGCAACAGCTGATAACATCTCCACAGCAACAAACAGCTCCTCCTGCTGTAGCTCTTCCTGAAACACAAAACAAAAACACAAACCTGTGTAAAATAGTAAATTGACACCAGCAGGTGCCAAACACACCTGATGGTTAAACCGCAAAGTCGGACTGATCTACGCTGGGATAAAGTCGACACCTCATCTAGAAGACGGAAGTGACGAGAGGAAGGAGGAGTTTGTCTTAAATGGAAGGTAAAGGAGTCATCTTAAATGAGGCCGACCTATCAGAGCAACCTGAGTCTCTGATGTCATCAACAGCTGGCAACAATGATACCAGAATCAGCTGCTGGTTAAACGTCACTAACCCCCAAATTCCACTACCTCCGCTCCGGTCCGCCCCCGCCTTCCGCAGCCGCTCGCTTCTGAACTCAATTTTTACTGGTACCCGCTCTACAACGGCTCCGCTCCGGTGCGGAGACCTGAGGGGGGCAAACAAGCATGCGCGGGATTTTCGAGATCTTGCAATACGGTCCGAGCAATAAACGCGGAAGTTAGATCCAAACACCCGTTGTGTGGGAGAAGATTCGGCATGAACTGTTTAATCTGCCCATCATTTGTGTTGAGAGATCAGCAGTGTTTGGATCAACAAAGTGTGACTACTTTGATAGTAGAAACTGTATTTATGGCTTACTTTTGTGCATTTAAACTTCAGCTGCCATTGATAGTGGTTAAAAGTTGTTAAATCTGTGCATATGAAACAAAAAACGCCTTTTGTTTATCGATTTATTGTGAAATACGGAAATTGTGCTTGCTCCTTTTCCTGTTGGGCCGTTGTGATTTCTGTCCATTTACTGCGGAGGTGCTCCGGCGTCCGGCGAAAATAGGATCGATTCTATTTTTGCCGGATGCCGGAACAGAGGGCGGCGCACGGCGCCACACTGCCGGAGCACGGCCGCAGTAGTGGAATTGCTCTGATTGACTACAACGGGACCGATTTTGCTCCGGCGTTCGTGTCGGAGCGGAGCGGAGGTAGTGGAATTTGGGGGTAATCTGATTCACCAGATCCGACTTCATTTACCCTGTTTGGAACTGGGCTTTATGTTTAAATTAGTCACACGGTCAAAATGGGCGGTACCATGTCAGGTCATCAGGCTGATGCTCAGTTAGAAATAAGGAGTTTACCTGTACGGCCCGTTTCTGTAGCAGTCGCAGCTCGTGATGGTACAGCGTTGCGGCAGATGGGAAGACCTGTGGCAGTTGCAGGTCAGAGTTCATCAGGCAGCTCACAGTGCAGCGGGGGTCGTTTCCACGCAGTGACGCATTTATCTTCTGCACCGCTATGAGAACTAAGACACAGACAGGTGTTTCAGGCAGGTGAGGCTGAACCAGCTGAAGTCCAGAAAGGATGGAACCTACGATTTTGGGATCTCTGGGCTTCCTGGTTAGCAGCATAAATGCTGTCCTGAAGCTCGGCGGGTTCCAGAGGATCCACAGATCCTTGATCCTGAGTCAGAGGTTAGAAAACGTGTGAGAAGCTCCAGGCCAGCATCAAAGCCCAGAATATGGATGTCTTGAGTGGTTGTTTACCAAAGCTTTGTGCTGGCGGTCCACCAACAGCTGGTCCAGGTACCAGAACCCGTTTTCAGTATGGAGGCCCTTCAAGGACAAACATGGTAGCCGCAGGGCTGAGAGGAGAGAGAGTTCGTCTGCAGCATCCAGAGCTTCGTCCACCATCTCCACTGCTGACCTGACTGGAGGACAGCAGAATATCACAGTCAGGACCAGAACCGGACCAGACCAGAGCTGATCAGGACCGGACCCAACTTATTAGAAAATACACATCATTCTCTGCTGCTCGAGGACGTTGTCAGCAGTTGATGACACCATCAGCAGCTGATTGTTTCGTACGGAGGCAAGGAGGCCGACCAAACTTCTCCCTCCCAAATAAACAACCAACGGTTTAAATACTGAAACTAAAGTCTGATTCAAATGGGATTAAAGTCAAAATCAAATCTGTTAAAGAAAACAAAATAATAGATTTGACTAATTAAACTAAATTTAGTATTTTTTTCCTCTCTCCTCCATCCCGCTGTTCTCACCGTTAACGATGTTAACTTGCTCCTGGATCTCCTTCTGGGTCAGAAACTCCTCATACACGTCTGTGTGTTCTGAGCCTCCGCGCTGTCGGACAGAGACACAAACATGTAAACAACAACAACAAAAACAGCTGATTGGATGCTAGACCTCTGTCTGACCAATCAGAACTCACCTTCCCTTGTGCTCCTTCAGCCTTCCTCCTCCGGGCCTGGAGCAGCACATCCTGGTAGACCTTCATCAACTCCTCCTCCAGATCATGGAGGAGAGCGGATGGATTGCTCAGAGCTGCTGCTGTGACGCTCACGTCTCCTCTCTCTACGGCCTCGTTAATGGCAATCACTGCAGCATGAACTAATGGCCGAGAACACAGTCAGACTTAAAGCTCTGACCTGAGAGCTCCTAGACAATCAGAATCCACATTTACCTGCAGCTTGGTCCACTGACAGCTCGTTGACCAGAAGGCCTCCGATCTTGCTGAACGCCGGCATCTGGATGCCGTATTTATCCAGCTCCAGCTTCATATTGTTTATTTCCTCATCTGATCAAAAACACATACATGTTAGAAAACCGATTGGTCCAGAGCACACCACAGGAAATACCAACTTCCACAATAAGAGCATGAAACATCTAGCTGCTGGCATTTACCTGTAAACTTGACTTTTCCACACAGATCATGAATGGGTGGGGCCAAACCTAGTCTGTACAGGTACAGGCTGCAAAGACACACAGAAGATCAGATATACAGGCGATCAGACACATGACAGATCAGACACACTGGTGATGAGACACGTTTACCTGAGTGCATGGATGCAGTAAATAGCTCTAGGCATGTTCTTCTTGTCGTACACATCTGTAGTTTCAGGCTGGAAGATCTAACAACAGGAGGTAATCATTTTAGACTGAAGACCCTCGGCTGATCTGTTCTGGGTTGACCTATGTGGAGACTGACCTGCGGTAGGCCCAGTGAGGTCACTGCGCTCCTCCAGTGGTTGATGTTGTCAGTGTGACGGAACTGAAGACCCTGGGCCTGAAGGGGTCAGACCACAGCCGATTAATGACTCCAGAGGGACTAAAGGATTAATAAACACTCCTGATGCAGGTCAGGAACAAAATAATCCAGAATAACACTCTCAAAACAGAAAAAACAATAGAAAGGTTCTTGAATCCACAATAATGTTCTGGAAGGTTCTCCTACAGTAGACCGGTAAAGAAACCAGAACAGAGTGGACACATCACACACACCACACACCTCATGTTTTTCTACTCTGAACACATTGATCTCAGGTAACACGTTTATTCTAATACACCTTGAATCTGTGACAGACTGGTGTCTGAGGAGCTCTGGATTCTTTGATCAGCTGAAGATCTCTGCATCAGCTGTTCTACTGGACCGGAGTCATGCTACCTTGTATCGAAGCTGCTCTGGGTCGTAGATCTTCTTCAGGGGGACCACGGTCGGAGCAAAGCGGTGACCCAGTTTGGCTAGAAGGACTCCATTCCTCAGAGTCTCCTCCAGCTCTGTGGGAGCAGGAAGATCCTCCTCCAGACACGCTTCCATCCACCTGAAAAGGTAACAAATTCAATCAGCACATGACAACAAAACAAGGTATGGTTCTGCTCACTGACCTCTTGGCCTCTTCCAGCCTGCACAGGTACTGATACGCCACATTCTGCATCCTCTGTTCATCCATTTGCTCTGCTGTGAGACGCTCACCTGGATAATACACACCTCATTAATACAGCTGTCTACTAGTATGTCCTGTGAACAGCACACAGAGGTTCTGCGGAGTCCAAACGGGTCAGTGATTCGTTAGAGAACCCCGGAACTCATTCTGACCAGACTCTGGAGCCAGGTGTCCCAAAACCGAATGAAGCCCGATTTAATCCAAGTGAGACAACACCTGGATTTACATCTGCTCAACGTGACATGATATCATTCAGCAACTATGACAGTCCACGATCCGAACCGGTCAGAAAACTGCCTTAAAAGCCTGGCTCCGAGGATGTTCATCCTAGGTGTTTTAGACACAGCTCACATCTGCCCCAAAACCCGACTGCGGTAGTCAAAAACAGGAGTTAGAATGGAAATTAGCTGCTTATCAGAGCTGCCAGAACACACGTCAGCGTGTTTTTGTTAAGAAACATGAGATTTAAGTGCTGGAACGTTAATTGTACATCACAACACGAACCTAAAAACTCCGCACTCAGGAACTAAAGCTTTTACTGTGACTTACCGCAAATTTGCGCAGCAAAATCCGACATGTTGCTCCGTGGTTGTCACTTCCGGTGATTGATAAAACTGTAGTTATCTCAGCCGGAGAATAAAACAGACATTTATAACCTCAGAAACTTCACATCAGACAACAAACTCGGAGAATAAAAATGCAGCAAGAGTTAGTCATCCCAACTGTTTCCTCTTTTAGGTTTGAAAGCTCCCGCCGCTCTCTGATTGGCTCATTTAACAGCCGCCACTGCTATTGGCCAGTACGTCACAGCGTCGCATTCTGGTCTATGTAGTCTTGTTTTGCAATGTTAAAATATAACGCTGTCATCTGTCTGGAAACTCACAGAAACTTATAAAATGAGACAAATGTATAAATGTTTGTCTTCCACTATGCTAGTGAAGTCATTCCTTTACCCAGCTGTCTGTGTTGCCATAGCAACCCACACAAACTGAGAGAGATAGCTGTTAGCTAGGCAGGTGGACGTGGTAGCCTGCAGGTATGAGTATGTTTGTTTATTTTCTCCAATTCAAATTCAGAAATGCTTAACTGAACTTAATGAGACGTTACAGTAACTCACTATTACAGTTCATTCAGAGGGTCACTGCATTTTACTCTAGCTGGTTCTAACTGACTAGCTGGTTTGTCAAGTTGTAAAGCTATCTGGTTCTACCTGGTACTGTTTGGTTCTAATTGGTTCAGTCTGGTTTGAAATTGTCCTGTGTGGTTCTAGCTAGCCCTGTCTTGTTCTAGCTGGTTCTGTGTGGGACAGCAGTAGCTCAGGAGGTAGAGCGGGTTGTCCAGTTACTGGAAGGTTGCAGGTTTGATCCCGGCTCCAACCAGAGAATGCTGCTGTTCTGTCCTTGGGCAAGACACTTAACCCACCTTGTCTGCCGGTGATGTGCGGAAGGACCGGTGGCACCAGTGGCTCGGCAGCCTCACCTCTGTCAGTGCGCCCCAGGGCAGCTGTAGCTATGTTGTAGCTCATCCCCACCAGTGTGTGAATGTGTGTGTGAATGGGTGAATGACTGATTGTGTTGTGAAGTGCCTTTTGGGGGGGGGGGGGGGGGGGGGTAGAACCCTAAGAAGGTGCTATACAAATAGCTGGTTCTGGCTGGGTCTAGCAGCTTCATCAGATTTTTAAAACCACTGTTCCTGTTACTGCTCCTCAGCAGATTGTCTCCACATTAGACTTGCAGAAGATCTGGAGCTCAGTAGAGTGAACTGATATCGGTTTAATTAAAACTTATCAGAAGATTTGGATTGGCAGGTAGAATGATGATGTTTCAGCTGGGATTAGTGGAATGTGGAACTTCCTCTAACTGGATTTTAGTCAACAATGAACAGATTTCTCTCCATCTCTTTAGAATCCACGCAGGTGAATTTATTTGCTGCATCACCAAGATGCCATCTGATAAATCTCCTTCAGGTGAGAAAGAAATGAAGACAAATAGGAAGAACAAAACAAAGACACAGAGGAAGACAGTAGATATCCAACAGTTGACATCCTCTGGTCACAGAGCGCTGCAGGAAGGACAACCTCAGGATGCTCTGACCTTTTTCAAAGATGCCCTGAAGGCTGCAGCACAGGTGAGAAATACAGGTAAAACAGAAAAATGAGTTACAGGTGAGATAGGATCAGAGACAGCTTCCAGGTGAGCCCATGACTGTATGTTTTGCATTTCTCATAATTCAAATAGCTGCAGGACTCCCGAGTCATCAAGGCCTGTTCCTTTAACCTTGGAGCTGCCTATGTAGAAGCAGGGCGACCTCAGAAAGGACTGGACTTCCTGCAACAGGCTGAACCTGGGCCAAAGGCAGACCGACTCCCAGACCTTCAGTTCAACCTGGCGCTGGCTCACAAAGCACTGGGTCAGAACAAAGAGGCTGCAGCCTACTTTCTGCTGGCTGCTCAGCTGTACAGATCACAGGGAGACGGCAGAAATGAGGGAGACGCCTGCATGGAGATGAGCCATTGCTACAGCAGTACTCAGGTGAGAAAAGGGACTTGAACCACAGCTGAACCTGATGCAGAATTTAACTATCCATCACAAATCCTGGTATAACAGGCGAGTCAGGTGTAAAAAGGTGAAACAGGTAAACCAAGTGTAACAGGTAAATTGGATGTAACAGGTAAATCAGGTGTAACGTAATCGCGTGTAATAGGTAAATTGGGTGTAACAGGTAAATTGGGTGTAACAGGTAAATCAGGTGTAACAGGTAAATCACGTGTAACAGGTAAATTGGGTGTAACATAATCACGTGTAACAGGTAAATCAGATAAGTATGTATCAAATATGTATGTTGCTTTTAAGCTTAATATGTTACCTTTACTTATGACCAATAAGCCGTGATATTCTATATAAATATAGGATATCAACCTTATTAGTCCTTGAATGTTTAATCAGAAGAATTAGGATTCTTTGCTTTTTCAGTGATCAAACACACTTCGTATTAATTCAAGAAGAGAGTCAAGTTTATAAAAAGTAAGAAATTTATTTTCTAAACAATTAAAAACATGACAGCTAGGAAGACTTTATGTGATGAATGAATCAACGTGGATGGAATGTGAGGTGTGATGATGTGTGAATGTGATGTTATCAGAAGCTCTTGTATCTGAAGAAACTGAGTTCTGAGTGGGAGTGAATTTGGTTTGCTGTAACTATAATTGATGGTAGGGGTGGGCAATATAAATGATATAAGGTAGAAATGATATGAAATTGGGTAATGATAGAGTTTTTGGCTATATCGCCATACCGCGATATCGTGATAACACATGACATCACTAAGATGGGCACCCTGCAGACACTGGGGTAACAGAATGGCAGTGACTGCAAGCATGGAGTTGGCGGAGGAGGAGGCCTATATGCCTCAAGTGGCATATATTTGCCACATGAGGATTATATAAATGTCATTTTGACATATATAAACAGAGGAAAAAATATATCGCAATATATATCATTACCGCACATGCTTCAGATTATATTGCAATGTATATTTGAGGCCATATCGCCCAGCCCTAAGGTACCGAAGTCCGTAGGAGAAACTGCAGTATGACCAGACCAGTCTTGAGATGTCTCCAGGTAACCACAGTTGTTTGCGTCTTAGGAATAACTCTTAAGGAGTTGAAGTTGGTTCAGCTTTATTCTGAAGGAACCGTTTGCGGTCAGCTGTAGCGTGCAGCAGGTTTTTGACAGCTTGTCAAAAGATGCTCTGGGTTAGAGAGGTTTTGCTCCGGATAGCCAGTCCGAAGCTTTCTCAAGAACTAACTGAATCACTCAGCAAGTTTCAGTTTTAATATTCCCATGAATATTAATATTATGATTACCTGGCCAATTGGGATGTGCCATGTTAAGAGGTGTTAACAAACAACCCTCAGAACATCACGCCTTCTTTCAGATAGAAGGTTCTCTGATTTGTGGGTAAGAACAAATCTTTGTGCATGAAATTACTTTAACTTTATCATCTCGTCATGGGTTTAAGTGTATGGCTGATTAGCTTGTCAAGTCACATACGCTGATTATCAGACAAATGGATCATTGCAGGACAATATTCATTTCAACCTTATTAACTTAGGCAAAGATTAATCAAAACATTTCATTTAACCATGTTGTTCATTTCATTTCATGATTAATTAACTCATATGAGCTGAAAATGTTCACTTTTATTCAGAGGCAGGAGGAATCCTGTAGAAACGATAAGTGGAAGCTTGCCTTGAAATGGGAACAGTTTGTTTACAATATGTTATAATGTGTTCAGAGCTGCAGAGTCTTCTGGCTTGTTGGGAGATAGAATTTAAAATCCACTTTTGAGAATGGAATCATGTCTGTAGATGACCGGTGGCATGTAGGTCAATATGTAGGTGAAAACTGACCATTTTACAGATGCAACATGTAAATCAAGTGTAAAAGGTTTAATCTTTTGTGGTTCTTCATCATACACAGAGTTCTGCGTATGATGAAGAACCACAAAACATTTATTTGAACAAAAAACTGAGAATGAACATAACAAAGGTGTAACAGGTTGTCTTTGTATTTCAGAACTGGTCTCAGGCGGTTCAAGGTTTTCTTCGAGCAGCAGAGGGTTACAAACTGGCTGCCATGTTTGATTCTGCGGCAACTGCCTTAAAAGAAGCAGGATGTCACATGATCCAGTCAGATCAGTTCAGCCAGGATGACATCACAAGCGTGCTTACAGAATGTCAGAATTTCCTGGAAAACATCACTGACCAAAATATTCTAGGTAATCAATAGATTACTCTGAGTGATTTTTCAAATGTAATTGTGTGATTTTAGCGCTGCGCTGCTCTGTACTTATGTTCATTCATATATATTAAGGCTGTTTATCAATGAAAATATTCATTGAGATTCAGGAGATACAGGAAGAGAGCAGAAATTATAATTTTTTTCACTCACAATTAATAGCATTTCTCATATAATTTTAAACACTCAGAAGTACCTTAAGTGAGGGTACTTCAGTTACCTCTGAGTGTTTTAAAATTAGCTGTTAGTTGGGCAAATCACTTCAGCTGCATTGGTTACTGGTGGTGGCTGGAGGGAACTGGCAGCGCCAAGTGTAACATGGCAGTTGGTGGGTCAGATGTGGCAGGTGAGTCAGGTGTACCAGGTGAATCAGGTATAGCAGGTGAATCAGATGTAGCAGGGGAATCACGTTTAGCAGGTGAGTCAGATGTAGCAGGTGAATCACGTTTAGCAGGTGAGTCAGGTGTAACAGATGAATTAGGTGTACCGGGTGAGTAAGGTATAGTAGGTGAATCAGGTGTAACAGGTGAGTCAGGTATAGCAAGTGAATCAGGTGAGTCAGGTGTAGCAGGTGAATCAGATGTACCAGGTGAGTAAGGTATAGCAGGTGAATCAGGTGTACCAAGTGAGTAAGGTATAGCAGGTGAATCAGGTGTACCAGGTGAGTCAAGAATAGCAGGTGAGTTAGGTATAGCAGGTGAGTCAAGAATAGCAGGTGAGTCAGGTATAGCAGGTGAATCAGGTGTGCCAGGTGAGTCAAGTATAGCAGGCAAATCAGGTGAGTCAGGTATGGCAGGTGAATCAGATGTATGAGGTGAATCAGGTGTGCCAGGTGAGACAGGTGTAGCAGGTGAATCAGGTGTACAAGGTGAGTCAGGTGTAGCAGGTGAATCAGGTGTAACAGGAGAGTAAGGTATAGCAGGTGTAGCAGGTGAATCAGGTGTACAAGGTGAGTCAGGTGTAGCAGGTGAATCAGGTGTACAAGGTGAGTCAGGTGTAGCAGGTGAATCAGATGTACCAGGTGAGTAAGGTATAGCAGGTGAATCAGGTGTACCAAGTGAGTAAGGTATAGCAGGTGAATCAGGTGTACCAGGTGAGTCAAGAATAGCAGGTGAGTTAGGTATAGCAGGTGAGTCAAGAATAGCAGGTGAGTCAGGTATAGCAGGTGAATCAGGTGTGCCAGGTGAGTCAAGTATAGCAGGCAAATCAGGTGAGTCAGGTATGGCAGGTGAATCAGATGTATGAGGTGAATCAGGTGTGCCAGGTGAGACAGGTGTAGCAGGTGAATCAGGTGTACAAGGTGAGTCAGGTGTAGCAGGTGAATCAGGTGTAACAGGAGAGTAAGGTATAGCAGGTGTAGCAGGTGAATCAGGTGTACAAGGTGAGTCAGGTGTAGCAGGTGAATCAGGTGTAACAGGTGAGTCAAGAATAGCAGGTGAGTTAGGTATAGCAGGTGAGTCAAGAATAGCAGGTGAGTCAGGTATAGCAGGTGAATCAGGTGTGCCAGGTGAGTCAAGTATAGCAGGCAAATCAGGTGAGTCAGGTATGGCAGGTGAATCAGATGTATGAGGTGAATCAGGTGTGCCAGGTGAGACAGGTGTAGCAGGTGAATCAGGTGTACCAGGAGAGTAAGGTATAGCAGGTGTAGCAGGTGAATCAGGTGTACAAGGTGAGTCAGGTGTAGCAGGTGAATCAGGTGTAACAGGTGAGTCAGGTGTACTGCTGTGAAATCAGCGCAACATTTGTCAGAATGATCAGAACATCATTTTCATATTTTGGATGGTGATGTTTTATAATGGTTTTAGTATTTCGTATTTCTTTGAACTCCTCATGACACTAGCTTTCTTCATCTCTACAAATATACACACCTGACTCGCCTGTATGTCGTTAATGCCTCTGATGTGATCCAGGTGAACTCTATCTCTCCGTGGGCGTGTCCTATTGCCAGCTCAGGTGTTTCGAGGAGGCGGTTCTGTGTTTTAACCTAGCCCTGGGTCCTGCAGCCCAGAGTCCACCCCTGCTGGCGAAAGTGCTGCAAAACCTGGGAGCGGCCCAGAACGCTCTGGGCCAGTTTGGTCCTGCGGTGGATCATCACAGGCTTGCTGCAGGATTGTACGGTGAGTCAGTACACCTGTCAGATATCTGCAGCTCACATGGACACTGCCTGTCAGCTGACAGAGCTATAGATTACCTATGAGTTGAGTCTTACCCTTTAACCACCTGTGAAAAGATCAATGGTCTTCATAAAACTGAATTCCAGATTGAAGATGCAAATCAGATACTCTGATGAACATAATCTAGTTCTGTCATGTAAATTAGTTAACTGGTTAAGCACGTAAACCACCTCCGCTGCTTTTTAACATCCTTAAGAGTCTTTTAGGACCCACAGCTTCTGCATCCTCTACCTCCTCTACATGCATAGGTGTTCTTGACCATTTCAACTCCACCTTGAGTAAATTAGCCCATTTGTGTCCCCCAGTGACAGCATTCCACCATGTTGGTGTCTGCTTGTGTTTCGGCTGCCCTCAGACATTCTTTGGTACAAACACTCATCAAAAAGACCATTCTAGATCCAGTCATCCTTTCTGATTTCAGACCCATTGGACTCAGCAGACTACAACATCATTCTCTCACATCTGAAATCATGTGTTTGCATTAAAGGCATGGCCCATGAAGGGTTCAAGTTGTACTTTTCAGTGACACGGGATGCCTCAGGGCATTGTTTTAGGTCCCATTATTTTCTCTTTATGCATACTGCTATTGGGATCCACTGGAAGATATCTCCTCTCATGGTTTTGCAGATGACCTCCAGTTTTATTTATCAGTTCCAGCTAACTATCATGAATTGGTGCAATCCCTGCTGAACTCTTAGGGATGTGTAATAATGGCTGGAGATGAGCTTCCTCAAATTGAATGGTATTAACTAAACCAAACAGAAATTATTCTATTGAGTCTGCTCTCCTAAATGTTTACAACACCACCATCAGCTTTCTGGTTTCCCTACTGTCCCTCCTCTGTGATTATCTCTGTGGTCAAAACCAGGTTCCTGCAAGTTCGACTCCTCTGTAGAATAAAGACCTAAAATTCCTCTGACCAGTTTCCTACTTCAGGATTCAGCTCAGAGTTCCAAAGGCTCGGCTCTGTCTGAACTCCTGCACTTTTCCACTCCAGCCAGTATTTTAAGGTGCACCAATCACCTCTTGTTGGCCACTCTTATATCCATGCAGAAGATATAGGAAACAAATCTTTTGGTGGCTTCATCTCTGTGGACCAGTTAGGACCTGAATGTGAGAGCAACTCAGATGGTGAATCCCTTTAAATCCCTGCTGATTCTGTTCTCTCTGGCTTTTAGGTCCATCTCAGAAGGTTCTGTTGACTTATATGTATTAATTTTGACATGACTGTTGTGTATGCATGTTATTTACCTGTTGTGTTGAAAATGTTATTTTTTTTTCTTTTCATCACACCGTGTATACCTGTAGGTACTCTGGGTTGCCGCAGTGACCAGGCTCGGTGTTTCAGCAACATGGCGTTTGCATACAGTCAGCTGGGGGACGAAGAGGAGGCAGCAGAAAGCTTCATCCTCGCTTTGCAGGGATTCAGAGACACAAGTATCAGAGTTACCAGTCTGTTCAGATGAGTTACTTGTCTGTTTATGAAGGTCAGGTGAGTTACCCAGCAATGTTCAACTGTGTGTTTGCAGGGGACCACCTGGCTCAGGTCCAGGTGTGTGAGGCACTGGCCGAGTGTTACTTGAAGCAAAAGAAGCAGCAGAAAGCAGTTGAGCTCTATAAACAGGCTCTGAGCACCCTTCGTCTCTGCCAGGTAACACACCTGTAAAATGTGCATGGTCATGTTAGGGTATTGAGCCATCACATGACACAACCTGGACTCACTTGATTGTTTGGCAGCTGATCTCCTGGTGTGCCACACAAAAAACCTCATAGAGACATAAATAAAAACACCAAGTCCATCTTGATCTACGTCACTCAGTGACTTACGCTGTTACAGCAAATGTCCGTAACTTCAAATGGTGTTTTTTTGTTGTTGTTTTTTTCTTTGGTTGTTTGTCCTAAAGTAGAAGTGGTAGCAGCTGGCTGTTTCTCTTTCTCTGATATTATTGAGCAGAGTGTCTCTTAGCATAGGTGTTTTGTTTCCAAATATGTGAGTTAGGGCTGCTCGATTATGGCAAAATTAATAATCACGATTATGGTGACTGAAATTGAGATCACGATTATTTAGGATGATTTTTCTATTTATGCTGATTTTATTTTTTATTCAGTCATAAAATTGCTCAGGGCACAATCAGGACAAAAATAAATAAGAAACAAGATTATCACTAAAATATCTCCTGATTCCCAGTATAAAAAGACCAATATACTTATAGCTCATAGTTTATGACCCAAGGGCTATAGACCTTGGTTTAACTCATTTAAGTCTAACCAGTACAGACCCAAATACCAATATCTTGCAAATACTGACAGCAAGAAATATACAGTGGCATTTATAACAAATAAATGCAAATAAATTGATGTTCACAAAATGTTGCATAACATTTATTGAGTCGTGTCAAGGTGCTGTAGGAGAATACACTAGCACCGTGTCCTCAGAGAGATTAGTTA